ACACAAAGTAATAAGCTACACACTCATGGTTAACCACAGATAAGAAACAGGACATGAATGGGCCACAGAACTCTGTATAGACCTCCCTGAATTTAGCCCCTTGCCTCCTCCCCAAAAGCAATAACTATGTTGACTTTTGTGGTAATCACCTCTTTGCTTTTGTTTATAGTATTACAAATAGTATAGTTTTGCCTGGTTATGAACTTTGTGCAAATGAAAATATGTATTATTCTGAGTCTTGCTTTCTTTCATTCAACATTGTGTTTGAAAGATTCTTTTATGTAGTAGGAAGTATCTGTGGTTCATTAATTTTCATTGCTATAAAATATGTAATTGTTTATCTATTCCATTATGGAAGGACATTGTGGTTGTTCAAATCTTTTAAAAAATTATTTTATATTATAAACAATAATCCAATAAACATGATGAAATTGGCATATTTCAACTTTATGAGATAATGCTAAACTCTTCAGAAACATTCTAAAATGCTTGAACAATTTACACTGTATCCAGCAGTGTCTGAAAATTCCTTTAGGACTGTATTCTCCTCCACACTCAATATTTTCACATTTAAATTATTTTGATAATTTGGTGGAAATATAGTGTTACTTTGAGACTTGAATTTGCATCTCCCTTGTTACAAATGAGCTTATATCTTAATTAGTCTTTGGATACCCTCATGTGAAAAACCAAACCAAATTCATTGTCATTGAGTCGAACTTGTTTCATAGTGAGTTCTCTTGTGAAAAGTGTCTATTAAATGTTCTATTCCATTTTTTTCTTGTTCAGCTATCTGTCTTTTCTTATAGTTCTTAATATATTCTGGATATAAACATTGGTATTATAGGTTATAAATTTCTTCTACCATTTTTTTGTCTTTTGGAGCATGATAGTTTTAACTTTTTATTGAAGTCATTTGTTTTTCCTATTAAGTTATACATCTCATATCTCCTTCAAGAAATCTTTTTCTACCCAGAAGTCATGAGGATATTGATGTAATCTTCTAAAAGATATATATATTTTGCTATTTAACTTAGACCTTTAATGATCCTGGAATTGATTTTTTATCTATAGTATAAAGCAGAGGAAATTTTATTTTTTATCATGTATTCCAGTCTTGATTCATTGAAAGCATCCACTGTATGCAGTGCTACCACTGTGATTTTTAAGTGTGTAATCTTTTAGACTCTCCTCTGTTTTATTTGTCCACTGTTTATACCTTCTCAATATCTCACGATATTAGAGCTAGATCAATTTATTCTACCTCATATTTCCTCTTCAAATGTGTCCTGGCTTTTTTTGGCTCTTTGCAATTACATATGTGTTTAAAATTGGCAAGCTAAGTTAAAAAAAGACTCAAAAATGATTAAATATTAATTGAGATGCCATGGAATCTGTAAACTGAATCTTAGAGAATTGAGATCTATGCAGTTGTCAGTCAAATCTATATGAACATTGACTAATGTTCCATTTAATTTAGTTATATTTATTTGTTGTGTCAAAATTTAAAAATAAATTTTCCTTTAGATACCTTGCACATATTTTGTTATATTTATTCATAGATACTTGATATTTAATAACAAAATTTGAAAAATTGCCTACTTATATCAATGCATATAAATTCAGCTGAGTGTAGTATATATTAATTCTGAATCTCAATTCTTGTTCTGACTCAGAGAGACCCTGTGTACAATAGAACGAACCATTGCTTGATCCTCATTGTTGCTGTGGCTGAACCTATTATTGCAGTCAGTGTGCCAGTCCATCTTGTTGTGGGGTTGTCTGTCTTTTGCTGACCTGTACTTAACCAAACATAATGTCCTTTTGCAGAGACTGATCTCTCCTAGGAACATGTACAAGGTTCTTAAGAGAAGTCTCACTATTCTACTTCTAAGCCCCATTGTGATTGCACTGCTTCCAGGACAGATTTGTTTCTTCTTCTGGCAGTCCACTGTACTTTGATTATTCTTTGGCAACATCATAATTCAAATACATCGACCCTTCTCTGGTTTTTCTTATTCATTATCAACTTTTATATATATATGAGGCAATTGAAAATACAATGGTTTAGATCAGGCATACCTTAGTCTTCAAAGTAACATTTTTACTCTTCAACATTTTAAAGATTTCTTACGCAGCAGATTTGCTAATGCAATGCACTATTTAGTTTATTGACTGCTGCTTCTGAGAACATTGATTGTGGATCCAAGCCAAAGGAAACTGATGGCCACGTAGAGGCAAAACTCAATAATCATACTAAATTCCTTATTGAATATAATAGTTTAGTTGTAGCTAAAGTCACCATCTACTAATAGTAGCAACTTTCATACTTTGTATTCCCTTTTTATTTTACTGTCATGCTGGCTTAGCAAAATCACCTACAATGTTGCGTAGAAGCAGTGATAATGGACATGTTTGCCTTGTTTTCAATTCCAGAGAGAAAGTGTTCAATATATAACTATTGTGATATTTGTTAGATGTATGTATGTGTGTGTATACACCTTATCAAGTTAATAGAATTTTCAAAGTATGCAATTTTTAAAAGAAAATTGGAAGTTGAATCATATATACTTTTTGCATCTATTGAGATGATAAGGAGTTCTAGTGATTCAATAGTTAAGCATTCAGCTGCTAACCCAAAGATCTGTGGTTCAAATCTATCAGCAGTTTTGCAGGTACAGAAACGTGGGGGACTGCTGCTGAAAAACTTTACTACCTCTTTGTCTAGTGCCATTGAATACATTCCAGCTTAATGCATGACCTAGGAAGCTCTATGGGGCAGTACTACTCTCTCTTTTAGGATTACTATGAATCAGACTGGCTCAATGGCATACAACAATATTGAGATAATTATATAATTTCTAAAAATCTGTTGGTGTGGTGATTACATTGATTTTCTCATATTAAAACATCTATATTCATGGGATACATTGAAATTGGTCATGATATATATTTTACATATATAGGGATTTGATTTGCTAATGTTTAAACATTTTATTTTTTCATGACTACTTAAAATTCATGGGAGAACCTATTACAAGGATCTACATATAACCACATGCCTGGGTGATGGACAACAGAAAAGTGGGTGAAGGGAGACATCGGACAGTGTAAGATGTGACAAAATAATAATTTATAAATTATCAAGAGTTCATGAGGAAGGCGGGAGTGGGGATTGAGGGGGAAAAATGAGGAGCTGATGCGAGGGGCTTACGTGGAGAGCAAATGTTTTGAGAATGATGAGGGTAACAAATATACAAATGTGCTTTACACAATTGATGTATGTATGGATTGTGATAAGAGTTGTATGAGGCCCCAATAAAATGATTTAAAAAAGATACATCTTATCATTTTCTCTTTTCACTCAAATAATTTTTGCAATCTTTGTGCTTATAAATCTTTTAATATAATTGCTACTTTTCACTTCTCCCTCATAAAAATCACACCATTTTTATATCGTCAACTTATAGATTTTATTGATCTGATACAATTATAATCTTAACACTTCATGTTCTCATTTACATAAATTATGTGAAGTACGTTTTTCATTATATGCTAGCTTATAACACCATTTGCTAATTAAGAAATTTATTGTGAATTAGATGCAGGTTTTAGAACAGAGTATCAGTGTTTCATTTAACAGTTCATGCACATTTTGTTTCAACTCATTCATTACAGTCCTCTCAATGAAGCATCACTTATTCGATTTCCCTGTGTTTGCTATTTCTATCCCTCCTTCTTTCCTAACCCTCAGTCTTTTATCTTTGGATAAAGCTGTCTTTTTTATCTTAAATATTTGATTATTCTAACATGGGCTGTGTTCTGTACCACAGCTGAAGGGTGAGTTCCACTAGTCTTGGAGGGTCCACCAGTCTCCATTCAACCAGTAAACTTGGTCTTTTTTATGATCTTGGATTTAATTCCACATTTTTCTCCCACTCCATTGACGACCTTTTAATGTGATCCTTTCTTGAGCAGTTGGTGGCTGCTGGCACTTTCTAGTTCTCCTGGTCTCAGGGTTGTGGAAACTGATTTTTTGGTGGTCCATTTTCCCATTAAACTAATTGTTTCCATAACCACATATATATCTTGTGAGCAGTTTTGCCATAATGAGTTTATTTTGAACCTATGCAGGTGTTCATTAATCTATTTAATAAGTATTTATTGAATATCTACTCTGTGTCAAGAACCATCCTAATTGCTATGGATAAGCCTACTGCTATCCAATCAACTCCAACTCCTCTGATCCTTGTTTTCTCTTTGTCCTGCAGAGTGGTCCTGGTTTTGACGGCTAATCTCGCAGTGGACAATCCAATGCTTAGCCGACAGGGCCAACAGGGCCACTATAGCATCTTGACTCTTCGTACCTAATCATAGCTTCAAGATACAAAAACTAGTAGTTTATTATGGTGATCCAAAATTCATAGAGAAAAGTATTCTTGCTAGTTATGTCATTTCATGCATAAGACTAGAAATTTCTATTTCACTCTTAGCTAATGACTACATACCAAATTTTGCTTTCTTACTGGTTTAGATTATTTGTCTTTGAGCAATTATTTCTATAGACCTTTTTGAGTATGGATTATGTAAACATATTCATTTATAATAAGGAATAGGGCCAAAAAATTTTACCATAAAATTATGTTATTGCTAATACATAAATATTTTTCAAATAGCTTACATTCAGATTTTAATATCTCCAATAAATTTGTAGCACCCCTAAAACTTCAAACATGAAATCTACAAGGTCAGACTTTAAAACATATTTTTATATTAAAATTAATAAATCCATTTTTAATAGGGGGAGTATAGTCATTTTGATTTACCCTTAGCTGCTCAGTTATTATTCATTTAGTTAATTAATTATCCAATTTATAACTTGTATTTTAACATATATTACAAAGTTTTATAGTAGACAATGAGCACAGTAAATTAAATCTTAAATAAATGTACACCAAATGTACATAACATTGAATTTTAGTTCTAATGTAATTTGCCGTTTAAAACAGAGATACAAACACAGCTAACCCCCAAACTGCCACGCCCATTGCAGCGGCACTGGTACCTAGATTCGGCTTCCGTGGAGGAGTGAATTTGGTTGCCTGAGCAATGTTGGAAATCTCCGAGGTGAGATTAGCATCATTGATGGCTTTAATTGCAAAGTGGAATTTGGTGCCATTTTCTATTGTAAAACATTCTGGCTTAAATTCAAAAACTTCTTCTGAGCCAGCTTCCTTAGGCGTCAGACTAGAAGTATTCACCAAAGCAGCTTTGTCAAAACCGGCTTGAAGATCCTGGAAATGCTTGCTGATTCTCAGAACGTAGCGGCTAGCTGGAAAACAAACAGACCTCCATGTACTCGAAATCCCCAGCCCCTCCCTGCGGCCACACTGCCTTAGCTGGAGTACACACGAGGCTCTGGTTATGCTGCAGTCTCTCTCTTGCTATTCTGTGTTACTTATTTTAAGGGCAACCATGTGGGGAGTTTCCTATCGCAGATGATCCTATTTAAGAACAAGAAGACAAACCCTCTGCCTTCGAATCAAACTGGCTGATAGCAACCCTCGTACAGTGCAGACTTGCCTCGCGGGATTTCTAGGGTAGATCTTTATATCTCCAGGACTTCCCTGATCTGATTTCAGTAGCAACTAATTCAAGATAATATTAAAGACAAGTCTAGATTTCTTTTCAGAAAGAAAAAATATGCAACGTGTTATAATGTAAGTATAGTAAAGACCTTTGGGACCCCAGATGTGTATTATTTCTCATTAAGTGGAGAGAGGGAACAAAAGGAGAGACGATGAATAAGTGGGAGACAGTGATGCAGGTACTATGAGGAGTCAGAGGTGGGATTTATACGAATTAAAAGCGTGCGCTCAGGAGCTAAGCAGACCTGATTAAGACCCGAATTCTGCTACCTTCTAGTCATTTAACCTGGAAAATTGATTTTATTTCTCTTACCTTTAGTTTTCTGACAAATATCTCATTTATAAAAAGAGATTCAGTTATTCAACTCATGCAACAAATATTGAGTTCCTGCTATCCAAAGGCTGAAGATTATATACAGATAATACAGGAAAAGTATTCACCACAGTGTCTGAGCCATAGTAAATGTTTGTAATATTCCCTATTATAACTATTATTATTTTATCAAGAAAGGAAAGGAGGATTCTGACATACATGTTTCATTCTAAATCGGTTCTTGAAATTTAACAGAGCCAGGGATATAAAAATAATTTCTCATATTCTAAGATATTACAAAGAACAAAATAGCCAAAACCCCTTTCGAAGCAAAGGTCTTTATTTTTCATGAAATGATGACAGTGCTTTAGAGTGTGGTGAAAACATCAATTTAGTGTTTTATTTTTAAAAATTCAGGTCCTATGTCTAACACTTTCAGTTTCTCCATAAATCTCACTGCCCTGGAGTCAATGCTGACTCATAGCGACCCCCTGTGGGTTTCCGGGACTCTATCTATTTACTGGAGTAGAAAGCCCAGTTCTCTTGTGGAGATGCTGGTGGTTTTGAACTGCCAACCATACGGATAGCAGCCCAGTATATAACCACTACACCACCAGGGCTCCTTTCTCCATAATTAGGCCTTATCAATTTTAAAACCCACTGTTGTTTAGCTGATTCTGACTTGTATGGGACAGAGTAGAACTGCCTCTCTTTTTTCTGAAGCAGGATGTCAATCTTTCAGAAGCAGACTGCCATCTCTTTCTCCAGGAGAGCTGCTGGGGGGTTTGAGCTACTGACACAGTGAACAATCAAGTGCTTTAGCCAGCACGCCATCAATCAATTCTACTACTTATTCAACACACTCTGTGTTCTGTTTAGGTGGATCTCGCTTCCTCTTATTCTAATGAAAATCCTCCCCTGTACCTGGTACTGTGTTAGACATGTATTTGGCTTCCATGATTACTTGTTGGTCAACCACACTGTTATGAAGTTGATACCCAAAATAATGGAATTAGAGAATCATAAAACATTATAACTTACCCTATCAGTCTTGGTAGTTCTAGTCAGGAAAGGAATGGAGCCCCAGATAACTTAAATGTTTCCTTCAGCTCATCTAGACGATTCATTGTTCCCTCCACTGCCACTGCCTCCGTGTGAAATATAAGAGGCAGCTTGCAACGCTCACCTCTTCCATTGGAGAAGGGTGAGGCCTAGGCATTTGCGGTTACACACCTTGATGTTTTCTCTCTCTCCCAGTGCATACATATACATGCACCTCTCTAAGCACATTGACGTTTTCCCTCACCTCCATGCACATGAATACATGTACATATATACATCTAGGTATACAAACACACACGCACACACGTATACGCACACACTGGAAGAGAGAGAGAAAATATCAATGTGCATAGCAACAAATATCTAAAATGTGTGTGTATATATACATACACACAGATAAAATATGTATATGCATATAGATATATACACACACAGATACCATATATATAAAACTGCAGGCCAGCAGTTCTCAACCTGGGGGTCGCTACCCCTTTCTGGGTCAAACGACCCTTTCACAGGGGTCGCCCGATTCATAACAGTGGCAAAATTACTGTTATGAAGTAGCAACAAAAATAATTTCATGGTTGGGGGTCACTACAACATGAGGAACTGTATTAAAGGGTCGTGGCATTGGGAAGGTTGAGAACCACTGATCTAGACCTTGAAAGGAAGACTTGTTCTTCGCTGAACTGAATTTAGAACTCATTTTTTTTGGTCAGGCAATTTCATTTATAGCTTGAAAATGACAGTATTAATTTTTTTGGCTAACTTTTTGATTTTGCTATATATAGGAAAATAATTTTAATGCTTGTCATCATATAAATTTTAAACACTGAATTATAAAAAGGGCCTTCTTGGATATTTGTATTTTTATGTTTCATTGGGCTTTTGAATTTGTTTTGTCCTTTGTAAACTAGTGATACAAAAGGATACAGCTTTGAAAATGTTCTAGTAAATAAAGGTTAGCAAACAAACACATTTCTTTTCATAGTCCAAAGTGAGGGGTTTGTTGTAACCCAGGAGCAAGATGGCATTTCAGCAGTTACACATTGGAGACAATGTGTACATCAACATTGAATAATGCTTCCATCTTCCCATTTTCTCAGGAAGATAGCAAGATTGACTTGATCACACAGGAAACTACTCATCTAGCACAATACTGGAATATGATAGGCATTCAATACACATTAATTGAATTCAGTTATATGTAAAGCAGAGATAGAATTCATTTAAACTTTATGGAATAAAAATAATTTATTATTAAAAACTGAACTGATTGCAATTCAAAGCCACCCTGTATAGAGTTTCTGAGACTATAAATCTTTATGGGAGCAGACAACCTCATTTTTCTCCTTCAACTACTGACCTTGTGTGTAGCAGCCCAGAGAATAATTCGCAGTACTACCGGGGCTCCCCAGAAACGGTGGATAAATGAGATATTTAAACCTGCATGGCCAAATCTCTATCTAGTAGTTTCTTAAAATGTGGTCCTTTCCTTGGGACATCTTCATCCCACCTGGCTAGCGCCTTTCATTTTTCAATACTCAGATAAGGATCAGGCTCCTCTAGGAAGCCTATAAAGATATATTCCATGTGATCTTAACTCCTGACCAGGCTAGGTCCCTTTGTCTGGCTTGTCATATAATTCTGTGCTCACAATAGCATATCTCCCATTACACTGTCTAGATTATCTGTTTACATGTGGGCTCTTCCACATTCAATTAATTGACTGTTGAGAACAGAGGTCATTTCTTTGTGGTGATTGAAAACTAAACAACCCCCCTCCCAAAGGGGGGGTGGGGTGGATGAATGAATGAATGGCTCAAGAACTTAGAAAACTTTTTCCCTAGTAGGAAGAAATGAATGCAACAGAACCTTCAACTCAGTCTTTTCAAAGCCTTTAAAATTGTGAGAAGCAGTTTCTTGCAAGAGATCCTGAAAAGACTGGGTTAGACTCTTGGCTAAGTTACTACTATAACTCGGGCAAGTTCGCTACCTCTTGAACGTTCAGCTTTCCCACCGAACATAGGTGGATAATACCTAGAGGACACTCCACGAACGCCCTTACTCAATGGACCATTAGGCACTTCTCAGCAAACCAAAGTCAATTTCTCTGAGCAGAGTTTAAAACGTACTATCAAACTTACCCTTTCCTTCGTCCAGGTTGTTTCCAGGAGCAGTCCAGGAAAGGTGAATACGATCGCCTTTAAACTTAGCTTCCAGGTCTGTAATTTTGATCGGTGGGAACACAGGGGCGGGAGCAGCACTGTTCGCAGGGACTCCTGATACAATGAATGCTCCCCCAGAGACTACTCTGTTGACGTCTCCTCCTTCTCCAGGATGTAGCACATTATGGGCGACTTCAGGTTTGAATGGATTCGCGACAATTGTACCTGCCCCGAAAAAAAAATTCTCATAACTTGTCATACAGTTCTGTTTACTTGTAAACTCACCTTGCAGTTGCAGGGGTTTGATATTGACTAATAACAGTAGCCCTGGTGGTGCAGTGGTGCCCATTGGGCTGCCAACTGCGGGGTCACCTGTTCGAAACCACCAGCTTCTCTGTGGGAGAAAGATGAAGCTTTCCAGTCCCGTAAAGAGTTACCGTGTCAGACCCCCCTGGGGCAGTTCTCTGTCCCACAGGGTCACTACGAGCCAGGGTCGACTTGAGGGCAGTGAGGTTGATTTTAGCTTTTGGAGATAACAAAAAAAAAACCAACTTTATGAATAAAGCTTATTTTATGGACATCTTTTAAAAATTGATGAGGTGTTGTTCTGCTCTATTACAACATTATAAAAACCTAGATGGTTTATTCTTTAAGGAAAAACTTATTTGTTTATTTTTGTAACTCCAGAATCTAGCACATGGCTTGACAAATGCACTGAGTTGAACAGCACTCCTTGTCAAATTCTTGCTGATCTGGGATTGTCAATACGGCCTTCTTAGAAAATAGGGTCTTAGCAGATGCCATCAAGTTAGTATAAGGTCACACTGGATTAACGTGGGCCCTAAACTCAATGACGAGAGTCTTGATAAAAATAGGGAAATGTGGCCACACAGACATCCAAGGATGGAGAACATGGTGCGCCCGTCAAGGCAGAGGTTTGAGTGAGGCCAACCCAAGAATGGCAAGGACTGCTGGGCCCCGCGAGAGGCACTGATTCTTTCCAGGGGCCTCTCCCACTGCTGTCAGATTTCTACAGCGATTAAAGCACTCGGCTACTAACTGAGAAGCCCATCGTTCAAACTTACCAGCAGTTCCATAAACAAACAAACAAACAAACAAACAAACAAACACTCACTGACACTGAGTCAATCCTGACTCAGCGACTCGATAGGACAGAGTAGAACTGTCTCTGTGAGTTCCCAAGATGAACTCTTTTAAAAAAATCATTTTATTGGGGGCTCATACAGCTCTTATCACAATCCATCCATCCATCCATTGTGTCAAGCACATTTGTACATTTGTTGCCATCATCATTCTCAAAACATTTGCTCTCCACTTGAGCCCTTGGTATCAGCTCCTCCTTTTTCCTCTTCCTTCCCCCACCCTCCCTCCCTCACAAACCCTTGATAATTGATTATTATTTTTTCCATTTCTTACACTCTTTACAGGAGTAGAAAGCTTTGTGTTTATCCCAAGGGAGCGTCTGGTGGCTTCAAACTGCTGATCTTGAGGTCAGCGGCCCAACGTGCAACCCACGAGGCCACCAGGGCTCCCTCCACAAGAGCGGAGACCCGGGCATCTGCTTTTGTGAGGAATACAGCCCAGGACATCCCTTGAGGCAGTGCTACTTTGTCTCCGAGGGCTGCCATGAATCCCAATGGACTCCGTTGTTTACAATGGTGCAACAATCAGTCTCAGGACGGTGAGGGAATATATTTTAAACCTCCCAGTTTGTGGGACTTTGCTTATAGAAGGCCCATCAAATGAATCCCAAACCAAACCCACTGCTGTAGAATCCATTCTGACTCATAGTGAGCCTAGACGCCAGAGTAGAGTTGACCATAAGGCTTCTAAGGCTGTAAACCCTTACAGAAGCAGACGGCCACATCCGTCTCCCATGGAGCAGTCTGACCTGTTGGTTAGCAGCCAATTGCTTTTCACCACTATGCCTCCAGGGCACTAACAAACAATAAACAAACAAAACCTAATGTAACATAACAATTTCAAAAAAATCTAACTGAAATGAACTGAAGTGGATGTGAGCAAAAAACTCCTAAAAGCATAGTCGGATGCTTTGCTCATTGATAGGATTTTGAAAAGACAGATGATTGTATAATTATAAACCTAGGGTTTTCATAGTACATTAGCTTTTAATGTTTGTGGTATATAATTTATCTACACGTAAGTCACACATCTATTTTGATGCTACTTACCATTTTCAACGTACCCTGGTATATACATTGCTTTATTATGATGTTGCTTTAGATGTAGTCTTGCAGTGTTTTTTCTTGCGTGGGCACGCACTTTCAAGCTGTATCTACCATTTCCATGGTAGTCTTTAAAGTACCTTGAGTAGATGCCGTCATTCTTGACAGTATCAGCACCTTAACATTAAGATGTAATAATTAGTGACTCAGCAAACTAAAGTGACAACCACAACTCTTACATGTGTTAGTGGTGGCCGCAAGGAGCCCTGGTGGTGTCCTGGTTACACATTGAGCTGTCACTGCAAGGCCAACTGTTCAAGACCAACAGATGTTCTTTGGGAGCAAGATGAGGCTTACTACTACAAAGAGTTACAGTATGGGAAACTCCCAAGAGCAGTCCTATGCGACAGGGTTGTTGTGAGCCAGAATCGACTGGATGGCAGTGAGTTTGTTTGAGTGGTGGAAGCAATTTGGGAGATTACATAGAATAAAGATTTTAGTATCTCTTGGGTTCAGAGCCTGGTTTGGTCACTTAATAACCCTGTGATTTTGGAAAAGGCTAATTTATGGTAAGCATTAATTTAATATTCACTATTATTATATTGGAGTCCAAGGAACTCAGGCATCACCGTGGATTATGCATTGTCAGCAGTTCAAACCCACCAGCACCCCTCTGAGCAAGATGCTGCGGTTTCCATCAAGGCTTGCAGTCTCAGAAACCCTAGGGAACAGTGGCACTCTGCCCTTCAGGGTTGACATGACTTGAAATCAACTCAATGGTGGGATGATGGGTAGCAGAATGGACAAGTGTTCAACTGTTAACGAAATGGTCAGTGGTTTGAACACACCAGCTACCCATTTGGGAAAAAAGACCTGAAGATGTGCTAGAATCAAACCCACACCAAACTCACTGCCATCGAGTCGCTTCCCACTCATAGTGACCCTATGGGACAGGGAAGAACTGCTTCTGGGGCTATCTGAGACTGTAACTCTTTATAGGAGTAGAAAGCTTTGCTGATGGCATAGTGGGTACTTGGGCTGTTAACTGCAAGGTCAGCAGTTTGAAACTACCAGGTGTTCAATGGGAGAGAAAAGAGACTTTCTACTGCCTCAAAGATGTACAGTCGAGGAAGCCCCCAGGGGCAGTTCTATACTATAGGGTCTCTATGAGTACAGGGTCGCATAGTGCTAAGTCACATCCTGAGTGCTTTGATTGGAGGACCCTGCTAGTACAGCCTAGGAAATCCTATGGAGCGATTCTGTTCTCTCCTAGTGGGATCAATTCTATGGCACACAAACACTATTATTATTTCATGAGGGAAGCTGATAAAAAATAAGGAAAAAAAACTACAACTGGAGAATGCATATTTGAAACAATGGCATTAATGAGAATAGAGAAAAATGACGCCCTTAAGCTCTGTGAGAAAAGTAATTGTTCATAAACGTGTAGAAGGTAAAATATTACAATCAAGTTGAATTTAATTTAAAATATCAGTTTTTATACATTGGTAACTTTGACTTCTACGTCATGCTACTGTCTCACTGCCGCGGAGCTGATTCTGACTCAGCGTGACCCAGAGTAGAGCTGGCCTTGTGGGTTTCTGAGATCGCAACTCCCTGCAGGAGGAGAAAGCTCCATTTCCCCAGAAGAATGGCTGCCGGTTATTAACAGTTGGTGGGAGCAGCCCAGTGTGTTACTCATTAGGCCCCAGGGGCCCCTATGCAATTGCATTGAAGTTCAGTGAAAGTTGATGTAGATTTTGATCACCTGCACCGTTGTCCCAGAGATCCAATTTTACTTTATGTCCATTTTCATTTTCTATAATGGCTGTCACATTGATTCCCAGAACAGGCAAAAATCCTTGGCTGACTCGAGCATACACAATCGCCAGACTAGGGTAATGTGCTGTGTTTTGACTCATGTGAGCGGTTGCGATCACTGGGAGGGTGGTAGGACTTCTTGCCCTCGTGGTCACGGTCACTGTTAGCAGCTGAGAGTTGATATGATTATTTAGAAGGCTGTAAATCCAAGTGCCTGACTGAAAAGTAAAAAAAAATATTTAAGAGATTGGATAGTATTTCCCTACTCTTTGTTTGGAATATAAAATTACATCTAAATGAGCAGAGTAACATTAATGATTTTTAAAAATTGTGCTAAAATATATGTACCATAGCAATGGACACTTAACCTCTTTTAAGCATCTAACTCAGTGGCATTAATTATAGTCATAATGTGACACCACCATTACCACATGATTATCTTTTAGTTGATTGTATAGCATGAATACTTGGTTATTTTTTTTAAAAAATTTAAAACACTTGATCGCCCTAATTCACACAACATACAACATTTAACATATACAATTTATATGTAGTAAATATTTAAATATATAAAAGCGTTTCACAAGCATCACTAAAATCAATTTTAGAACATTCTCTTCATTCTTGTATCTTTCTTGTCAGCACCCCACTCCCCCGCCATACCCTGAGAAATTTCTAATCTAATCACTGCCTCTACAGATTGACTTATCTTGGATTTCATATAAAGAAAACAATATGAGAGCAAAACCAAAAACTAAGTCCAAAAAATACTCAATCCAAAAGAAAGTAGAAATTAAATAAAAGCTAGAATAAATTTTAAAATGGGTCAAAAAGTAAAACAAAGGATAAGGTGTTAAATTTTAACCAACTACATTAGCATTATGAGCCCTGGTGATATAGTGGTTACTCATTGGGCTGTCGCTGCAAGGTCAGCAGCTTAAAACATCCAGTTGCTCCTGAGGCGAAAGACGAGGCTTTCAACCCCCGTAAAGAGTTATCGTTTCAGAAACCCACACGGGTAGTTCTACTGTCCTGTGAGGTCCCTATAAGTTGGAATCAACTAGATGGCAGTGAATTTGGAGTTTATATCTTCCTTGATCTATTTCCCAAGGCACTCTGCCCCACGGCAAGGCTTTCCCATTGCTGGTCAATGGTCAGAGAAGTTTCAGCAGAGGCTTAATCTTTGTGGGGCTCTGCAAATGGATTTTGGGTTTTTACTGTCTTCCATAGCCTTCTGGGTGCTCAGACTTTAAGCTCTAATACAATTCTCTCCCCCAGTCTTGGATTTTATTATTTACAATCATTGGATCTTGTCAGCTGGTGTGTTTCCATGTGGACTACTGAAACCTCACTTTGATGGCTGCTGTTTTCAGATAAGACTTTAAGATCCCACATGCTATTTTGAATCCATAGTTATTCTACTGGATTTTAAAAAATGACAGATGACTTGACAATATATGTTATATTCTTCTTTATTTAAGAATAATCTTGCTAAAGTACGAGGGAAAAATGATAAATTTACCTCTGCAATACCTGGTATCCGGAGACGGGTAGATCGAATATTTAGCTTATCTTCTTTGAAGTCTGAGGTTTTATATTTCTTTCCTTTTGGATCTTGAAGGAAAATTTCTGGTTTTTGTATTGTCCACGTGACAACAAAGAAAGTGTCATTTCCAATAGTGCTATCTACAGGCACGGTACCATTCATCCATTTGCTTCCTGAAATATTGAAAGCTTTGCTTTCTACCTGTTTCAAAAAAAACAAGAACAGAAACAAAATTCTTTATTATTATCGACAATAGAGTTGCAGTGTTTAATCGGTCCAGAGTAATTTAAATTTTATCTTTAAGCAGTCAATGAAAGCAACTAAGGATTGTTTTGTACAGTTTTGCAAATAGAAAGATTTTAAAAAGAGTTGTTCTTAGGAGCCATGGAGTTGGTTCCAAGCCTCAGCAATTCTGTATACACCAGAAGGAAGCCCAGCAACCCCACGCCATCCTGATCGTTGTGTCCCTGCTGCAGCCCTCTGGGCAGGGACTGTACACACCTATCTTGTTGAGGGCTTTTATCTTTCTTGCTGCCTCTCTGTTTTACCAAGCATGATGTCATTCTGCAGAGACTGGTCCCTCTTGCTAACATGGTCAAGGTGCATGGGACAAGAGTAGGAGAACTCAACAGAAAAGGTGCCCATGAGTGTCATGAAAAGCAAATACATTCAGTAAGGATGATTTTCTTTTTATATTTCAAATACTTGCAGGCATAAAGAGTTAATGTCTTCAAGAAAGCAGAATCAATGTTAGGAAAATAGAAATTTATTCAAGCTTGATCAACCAAAAATTTTTCTGTATACTGACCTGTACAGCCTGGTGAAGGATGCTGCCACTTCTGGATGAAATTCTACTGAAAGCATCAATCAGTCCTGTTGTATCTTTATGGATGTAAAAACTATATCCTCCTAAAACAGAGTTTATGTAGTTTTAGAACCTTAATTTTAAAGGATAGATTAATATTTCATTTTTCTGTCACAAATCTACTTGAAGTTTTAGATTTAATTTATTTTTAAGGTTACAGATATCACTTTCCATAATCTCAGAAACATTCTGTATGTTAATGTCCCAGATGTAGTCCCACACTAACTAAAACCTTGCTTACAATAAATATGAAGTAAACTATAGAGAACACGCCAAATTTTATCATTGAATTAGATGCAAGCAACTACTGCATGAACAAAATTTAATTGCTGACAATGCTATAAAATGAAGTTTATGACCATTCTTCTGAATCAGTTGTTTGTGTTCTAGGTGGATTAAAGACATATTAAAACAATGAAAGGACGACATGTTAAAATAAGGTAAACTTTTATAAGTTCAGAAAGTAAACAATATAGGGGTTAGAGAAGGAATACTTGGATGTGAGTAGTTAGGAAGAATTTACACAAGTGCCTGCCACATATACAGTTAACCATTTGTTGACCTACTAACTGGCAGAAACTGCAGCTGGGGTGCTAGTGAAGGTGCAGGTCGAGATTTTGAAGTCAGCTAGGATGTGCTAAGAGGACGGGTTAGAAACAAAAAATACACGAAGTATTTCAAACAAAGAGGTTGAAAGAGTTCTGGACTAACGGTAGCCTTGGGCAAATGGTTTTGAAGGGTTACCAGTCATTTGTGCCAGGGTCTCCAGTTCCTTGGCAGCAGAAGGGCCCAGAGCAATGGTGTGGATGATGGCACCACTTTGTTTTACCTCCTCAAAACATAATCCCATTGTAGTGTCTTCCCCATCTGTTAGTAATATGATTTCAGAACCAGAAGTACTTTGGTGACTGCCGGTGATTACCTGATAATGAAAAGTCAGGTCATTAATTTTTGGAATGTCATATCTGAAGAAATGTCGACTAAGAACAAGCCTGCTCTTCCATCATGGAGAAGTCTGTCGTCCTACGTGCCTTAGTAAGTCAAAGGAAACTTTTTGCATCACGTCGGGGTGAGTTGGTATGTGGAAGTGAGTGTAATATTAAGTGGTGTTACAGATTTTCAAAGCTATGCTATAAATACTTCATATCCTCTCAATTATACTGCAGCTACTCAAGAGAAAAAGAATGAAGCAGTTGGAACAATATCTGGCATTGAGTAAGTACTGGTAGTCAAGGAGCATGGTGATGTGTTGAGTCGTTAACCGTAAGTTCATTGCTTTCAAACCACTAGCTACTCTTCGGGAGAAAGATGAGGATTTCTACTCCCATAGATACCTGGCCTATGGGGTCTCTATGAGTCGGAATTGACTCAGTGACAGTGAGTTTGATTTTTGGCTGAGAGCAAATGTTAGCGATTATTATCTCAAGGGCTGGTAGAGGCAAACAACCAGGTAATTCTGGTGACTGCAAACTAGACCGCATTTTTACAGTTATGATTGAAGGCAGGAATGTAAGGTCAAATCATGTGGCAGGTCACCTTTTCATGAGTATTACTTGGTCACTGTTGCAGAATCTTGAGGAGCCCTGGTGGTGTAATGGTTATGTGTTGGACTGCTAACCACAAGGTCAGCAGTTTGAAACCACAATCCACTTCTAGCAAGAATGACAAGGCTTTCTACTCCTGTAGAGTTACAGTCTTGGAAACTCAGGGAAGCAAACCTATAGTGTCACTTGTGAGCTGGAATTGACTTGATAGCAGTGAGTTTTTTTAATTGTTTGCAGAATTTTAGGATTCTGCAGAGGGAAAATTGAGCTTCTGTGAAGAAGGAAGTTCATTATGTTATAATTTTGGGGGTCTTTTCCTAATATCTGATAAGTTTAGGCTATCAACTGTTAGCCAGATAACTTGAAAGTGAATCCCAGCATGTAGTCTCTCTCAATATAGAATATAGTCTGTTGGCTCCTTGGGTTGAGCATTTGGTTGCTAACCTCAAGGTTGGCAGTTCAGATCCTCCAGCTGGTTCATGGGAGAAAGATGAGGTGTCTGTTTTCTTAAAGATTAACAAATCTGGAAATCTTAACAAGCAGTTTTACTCTTTCTTATTGGGTCACCATGAGACCAAATTAACTTGATGACTGTGGGTTTATCTATCTATCAAGTCTAATACAGAGCTATTATTATCATCATCCCAAAGGGTACTTGATCTAGAGGTAAAAAACCAGGCAATTCTGGAGATTGGAAACCGGGCAGCATTTGCAGAGTTTTGACTGAAAATATCATAAGATAGATACAGAACTTAGTATAGTGATTAAGGTTATGAACTTAGTAGAGACCAGGCTTTGAATCTTAGATTGTCAATTACAAGTTATATGACTTTGAAAAGATATTTTAATTACTCTGAACCTCAGTAAAATGGGCATAAAATAGAACCCAACTCACAAAGTAATGGTGAAGCTAAAATAAGATCATTAACATGAAACATTTAGCAAAGGCAAGAATTATTTAAAAAACAAACAAACAAGCTCACTGATATCTAGTCGATTCTAATTCATAGTAACCTTCTACAGAGTTTCCTGGGCTGTGAGTCTTTATGGGAGCAGATAAAAAAACAAAAATAAAACTCACTGCCATTGAGTCAATTCTGACTTGTAGTGACCCTGTCGGATATGACAGAATTGACCCTGTTGAGTTTCTGAGACTGTTGCTTTTTACAGGAGTCTATGGCCTCATCTATCTCCCAGGGAGTGGTTGGTGGTTTTGAACTATAGATTTTGAGGTTAGCAGCCCAACTCATAATCCACTATGACACTAGTGTGCCTCATGGGAGCAAATAGCCTCATTTTGCCCTATGGTGCCACCGGTGGATTTGAACTGCCCATTTTATGGTTAGCAGTTCAATGCTTACCTGACAGCATCATTAGGACTTCTCATTTAAAAAAAAAGATATTATGTTATTGTTATAGCTTTGTAAGTAAAATGCGTATATACTGACATCACTTCATTTTGTAAATAGTTAAGAATTGTTTACAGCTTTGAATGTAATTGGAAATAACTTATTTAGCAAGAAATGCTTTTGGTCAAAATCTCTTAAGATATATAAAACTATATAGTGAGAAAACATGTACTAACTGCATTTTGAGCCCTGGGAGAATAATGGGTTACATGTTGGGCTGTTAACCAGAAAGCCATTGGTTCAAATCTATTAGCCACTCCTTAGGAGGAAATGAGGCTGAGCCAGTAAGGATTCACTGTTCAGAAACCCTATGTGGGTTGCTATGAGTTGGAATTGACTTGATGGTAGTGAGTCTGGTTTTTTAGTTTATGTGCAAATATTCTCATAGCGCTTCAGTGTAGAGTTCCACCACATTTTGAAGTACACAGATACATCATAATAGGAATTATGATAGTTATAATAATAGTAAAGCTGGAAAATTTATCTTATACAATTCTCATCAATAACTGAGATAGGTATTATTATTATCTACATTTCCTCAGGTGAGAAGCTAACATTTCTAAGTTGAATAGCTTACCCAAGGTCATTAAAGCAATGAACAATAAAGCCAGGCTTTCAGACTTATCTGAATCCAGGGACAGCCCTGGTAAATTCCTCTGCCTCACTGTCAACAGACACCACAGGAAAGTCCAGAGATGGTATTAATCAGAGGCCCGATGACAGTAACAACCTGCCCTTTCGTTGAAGCAGAGGGAGGATCCCTGCAGG